AGGGGAAGTTCTTCACTGTTTGTAGGGCAGACTAGCCACAAATTTTTTTTCATCCTGCAAACTCTTGCAATCTCGTAGGATGGGTTAGTTACAGTTTTTTTCTCATCCTTTGAGACCGATCTCTCCATCCCTCTAAGAAAGGTTGGGAGCGCCAAAGCCATGAGAAATTGGGATTCCGTTCCATATGGATTTAAACGTAGGGCTCATATAGAGAAATCACTCAGCTTTGTATAAGATTTGGCCACACAGAATTCTTAGTCTAGGGCTAGCTCTAGGAAATCAATGACCAAAAATAAGGGAATGTGGCTGTGTCGACTGGTGTCGGCCAACAACCTAACTTTGTATGGGTGGCTAAACCCACAACGCAAAATCTAGACAAAACTAGGGTCAACTAAGAAAGAAAATACAAGATTTTAGAGATTATCACCAACCGCGATGGTTGTGGACACCTTTCTTCAAGTAGGAGGAAGCTCTCCTATCGATAAGAGAGAAGCTCGCATTTTCGGCGGCGCTCGGCGCTCCAGAAATACTCTGGCGAGTTCCGACAATCTTCCATCAATACTATAAGCTAGGAGGAAGCTCTCCACATGATGGTCTTTTTATGCACACTTGAGACATGTGGTGGATGAATATGTAGGAGAAGAAGAAGAAGAAGGGCTGGAATAGAAGCTTTTCCTCCTCCCGTGCTTTCTCCAAAAGGGGGGCCCTCTCCCAATGACACCTCTCACAGCTCTCCCCAAAAAGCCTCTCCAAGCTCTCCTTAAAAGCTCTCTTCAACCGCCTACCGATGAAGAAGGAGAGAAAAGGGAGACGGAGCCCTAGCGCCAGCTCCAAAGAGCTCGAGCGAGAGACAAGGATCAACGCGATAGACGTCAATAGGGGAAATGAGAGGTTCCCCCAATTTAAGCTAGCGTATGTCAAAAATTGACAGAAAAGCACCTAATAGACTCCCTAAGATTCTTCTAATGGTAGGGTAAAAGAGGTATTTCACACCAACTTTGACCATCCCAAGGCTCATCATCACGGCTCTGCAATTTTGACTGCATTGGGAGTAAAAACGGCTCCTAGAAAGGCCCTTTTTCGTGATTCGGGAAGTGTCTAGCATCTAGACTCTTGGACCCTGGCGAATAGGCACCAATTTGAGAGACTGGTGCTTGGGCGTCAAGTCTGGCTCCCAGCCGCCACCCAGGTGGTGCTTACTTCTTGGACTCTATGAAAAAGGTTTTTTTTTGTTGTTTTGGACACTTAGGCGCCAGTTTGGCACCTAGGCCCTAGGAACTAGTGCCAGACTTCCAATGGCTTGGGTTAAAATGTCTGAGAAGGCATTTTTGGTGCATAGGTGCCCAGGGTTGACATCGGGCCGCTAATCTAGCTCTACATCCCTGATTTTCAATACGAGCGCCCAACAAAGGATTTTTTTGATCTGAAAGCTACGAGAGACTCCAAATGAATGAAATGTGGTCCCATAACTCCAAAATTGGATATTTTGATAAGCTTATCACTGGGACAATTTTTGTTAATGGCCATCATAAACCAGACATGTGTAGGGTGTCTCAAACTCTAACTCATTCGTAGAGCACATAGGAGGGTTCCGCGACTTCCCTTGGCCACAGGAGGCTCTAGATAGACGTGTGTTGAACTCTAAACACTTTAATAAGCATTGAATATGTCCCACATTCTGAATGAACATTTTTGATGGTAGGTTCTCCTGGGTAAGGCTAAATCGCCGCCAACCTTAGCTCCTTGCCCCAAGTGCTAGAGAGTACCAGGTGGATGTCTTGAGCTACTGGATGCTATGGATGATCTATAGACCATCTCAAATCATGAAGGTGGACACCCTACACATGACATCAAAAAATGATGACAACAGTGCATTATCTTTCTTTGGGAAGTTTCGTCTCCGTAGTCTTTTCCACTTCTCGTCGGTGGCATGTTTCACACTAACCGAACCACTTTTCAGGATGTTCGATCCTAACTTGTTTATATTGTGAGCACACCTCGAGAGTCAGAATCTAAAGAGGCGAGAGAAAGAAATAGAGAGAAAGAGAGAGAGAGAGACAACGAGAGAGAGGGAGAAAGAGCGCACAATTATTTCTTCTAGAGGAAGCCTAAGAGAGTCCCTTTATTCCACTTAAAACCACTTATTTAAAGAGGTCTAATTAATAAAATTAAGGAAGGTGGGAATATTTTATGGTATTACCATTATAATGTTGACAAAAATAATGGTTTACAATGACTTATGAGTTTAAGTAAATACGATCGGTTGGCAGGTGACTAATCGTGTCGGTCAGCAGACTAAAATCTGCCTATGCCAAGAGGTGGTAATTGGTTGGTCCAAATATGGTCAATTGTCTTCACAAGAGGTATGACTAATTGTTTCTGTGAGACCTATTGCTTCGGTTGGTCAGTTGACTGATATGTTGACCTGTTTTGTTGGAGGAGTCGTGGCTCACTTGTTGTCTCGTCTGTCTGGTCGGTTTGTCGCCTCAGCTAGATGCTTCCTCTCACAAGGTTGGATCGTGTCTCTGCCTATGCCGAGTATCCGACAAGACTCATTACTGGGATGATTTGTGTCATACCCTTAACAGATCTTGCCACTACCAAGTAGGGAACCATCTTCAGAGCTTTGATCCGTCCCAGGTTTCGAGATGTGGGTTCTCATGCTTAGCATTGAATTGTCGATAAATCGCTTACTCTGAAGGGAAGCTTCATATTCTTGTTCGTTCTTTATCTTTGAGATTCATGTTGGTAGTTTTAGTATATACAAATTTATATTAAAGTAGATATAAGATTTAGTAAACATACTTTTAAATTAATATACAATGCTAGTTATGGCCCTTCCAATGAAGGTGAGAAACATAAATTTATTGAAGAGTTTCCTAATCTCTTTGCTGAGAAGGTAAAAAAGCACATTATTAATGGTAAAACTAGCACTATTTCATATAAAAATTTTACATATGAAAATCTTATTAATAACTACATTCAAACAAGTCTCAATCTTTATTATGGACCTAAGGGTGCATAAATAACAACATAACTTCTAAAGTTTTAAGTTCATAATAGTCAAATTGAGTATCTAAATAGATTAAATTAATAGGTCTAAGATTACTCGATTCTGATATCATTGAGATACTTAAATGTCCCAATAATCTATTATAATTAAAGAAAATAATGAAGATTGTCAATGGGGAGGTTCCAAAATTTTTGCTAAAATTACAAAAATACCTCCCAAAAAAATTATAAATGTGAGGGAAAGTTAGCTAAGAGTAAGATTTATATTCAGGAGGTTTAAAACATTATTCAACAATTAACATCAGTGGTCACTGTTAGCAACCACAATTGTTGGCCACCAATTACTCTTTATCAAACCGACCATCATTTGAAACTTTCATTATCTAACCATCATAATTATAC